TATTTTCCTGGCGCGTTACAAGTGATTTTCTTTCTTTGTGTTGTGAAAGCCACAAATTTGCTTTGAGAACGCTTACTCTTCAACTACATAACTATCAAAAAAAAATTCAGGAATGCAATTGTTCACTGCAAGATCTACCCAAGTGCCAACTATGGGAGTGATCATCGCTCTGTTATATGTAAGCTAAGAGTGAAACTACAGAAACAGAAGAAGCCTAACACAGTACTCAAGCTGCAATACAACAAACTCCTGAGCGACCCAAACCAGAAAATATTAAAAGAATATATGAGGGACACAATGGAGACTTGAAATGGGAATCACTAAGAGATGCATTAGTGATATCAGCAAATGAGGTCATTGCAAAGGAGTACAGACGAAAAAAAATGAATGGATGACAGAGGAGATTCTTAACATGATACAAAAGAGATAGAAAACTCTGCCAAGATACAAACAGAATACAGAAAATTACACAAAGAAATAAGGACCAAATGCAGACAGGCTAAAGAAGAGAGGCTAAACAATAAATGTGCAGAAGTACAGAGATTGAATATCATCAACAAAGGAGATATTCACAAACAAATAAGGCAACTAGCAGGATAGAAGACATGCTTGTCAACAGGCTACTTAAAATCAAAGGATGGAACACTCATATTAGAGAAGGAAAAAATTCTTCAATGCTGGGGCGAGTATATTGGCAAACTCTTCCACGCCGAAAGAGAACAGCCAACAATGCACAGAACTGCTGGTGGACCTGAAATTCTAAAAGTCGAAGTAGAAGCTTCACTGGCCAAATTGAACAGAAACAAGGCTGCAGGGCCAGACGGAATTGTAACAGAAATGCTGACAGCCTTAGATGAATTTGACATAGATAAGAGCACAGAAATAATAAATAAAATTTACAACAGTGGGGATATGCCGAAGGACCTCAGCAGATCTATTTTCATAGCACTACCAAAGAAACTGGGCACAAATAAATGTGAGCTCCACTGAACAATCAGCCTAATGAGCCACATCACAAAACTCATCATCCATATTCTGATGAATAGAGCATGCAGCAGAATCGGGCAAGAGATAGGACAAGAACAGTGTGTGTTTGTCAAAGACACCGGAACAAGGAACGTGATATTCATGCTTAGAATGTTATCAGAAAGAGCAATACAGATAGAGAAGGACATGTATCTATGTTTTATAGATTACACATTCAACAAAGTACACCACAAGGACCTGCTAGAACTGCTCAGCAACCTTGATATATTTGGGAAAGGTATCAGAATAATCAAGAACCTATACTAGCAGCAAACAGCATGTATTTGCATTGAGAATGAGCTTGGCAAATATACAAAAATAGAAAGAGGCATAAGGCAAGGATGTGTCTTCACACCAGACTTTTTCAACCCATACAGCTCAGCAATTCTGAGGGAACTGGAGATCCTACCAGGATTTATCATTGCCAGCCACAACCTTACCAACATAAGAGACGCAAATGACACAGTACTGATAGCAGGCAAGGAAAAGAAACTACAAAACCTCCTACAGAAGGTAGTGAGGGAGAGTGAGAAGAAAGGACTAAGCATAAACTACAAGAAGACAGAATGCATAGTCATTAGTAAAAGGATGAACCCAAAATGCAATTTGCAGGTTGGGGACACTAAAATCAAACATGTGCAGAAGTTTAATTATCTGTTATGTTAAGTGTTCTGATGGAGGACAGTAGGTGTGACACTGAGATCCGAAGATGGACTGAGATGAGCAAGGATGCACTCAAGAAGCTGGGCAGAGTACTGCGAAACAGGAGGATTTCTATGGTTAAAAAGAAAAAAGTACTGAGCTGCTATGTGACATCTGTCCTCCTATATAACAGTGAATGTTGGACGGTATCCTCAAAGATGAAGAAGAGTCTTGAGGCGGTTCTACAGAAGGATACTGAGGATATCATGGACCGAGCATGTGAGAAATGATGAGGTCTTGGAGAGAAGGCAAACAAGGAGGACACTCGTGGAAGAACATAAGGAAGAGGCAGATGAAATTTCTGAGACATGTGATGAGAATCTGATACTCACATGATGAATAGAGAGAAAAAGAGACAAGGGAAAGCAATTCATGACATACATGGCAGGCTTGGGCAGGTGGATGGTGGAGTGTGGTCTGAGGCAGTTGATAGAAACACAAAACCTGTTGAGAGCCACAAGTGATAGGGGGAAGTAGAGGGCCATGATTGCCTACGTCCCCAAAGGATACGGCACATAAAGTAAAAGATTCAAAACCCACACAACACACACCAAGGTGATTATATGACTCTTTTTTTTTTCTTCATGCTGTAGAAAGAAGACAAAAAAGAAAACTAGAAATAAAATATTATAAAATAGAAAATTCCAGGTCAAGATTGTTAACTCATAAAAACATAAGGGCAACTATTTTCATTTAACAGATGAATGGCAAATATTTTTGTTTTAAATCATGAAAAATAGAAGGGAAAATTTTTTGTTCAACCCATGAAAATCTAAAACCAAAAAATTTATTTCTATATTTACATTATGTTGGGTGTGCTTACTTACTTCCCTCTTTAAAGGACAATAACTCAAAATACAACTAAGTTATGTCCCTTGTCCATTAGTTGGATCGTAACACTTCTGAATTCAACATGGTGATAAGCTGACATGCATATGGGTTTAAATCCAAACAAATCTTTGCTCTTTTCAGGCAGTAATTGAATAAAAGTTATTTTATTGTATGTTAAGTTATATGTTAAGTTACACTTGTTTTTTTATTTTCATTTGTTTTTATTCATTACAACAATATGGGATATAACACATTAAGTCCTACCAGCCATCTCTCTGTAAGCAGAAAAAGTGGTTGGTAGGTTAAAAGATAATGAGGCATCAAATATATTTTTTATACAACATTTTGTCCTTGGTGGTCAATTTTAGTTGTCGTGAACATTTTTGTCCTTGATTTAACTTTGAAGAGAAAAACTGATAAACCTGTTTAGCTGTTTATTTTTGTTAGTCATCTTGTATTTTATACATATATCTCTTTTTTTGTTATTTCTTTCTTGTTTATCTGTTTTCATTGCTTTATAAAATTTTGTATTCCTGCAAATATTTTCATTCAACTAATGTAGAACAAAAGGAAAATATTTTGGTAAATCCTATAAAGGTTTAATAATTTAGTTTAAGCCATGAAGATTATAAGAGAAAATATTTTAGTTTTAATCATGAAGAGCATAAGGGTAAATATTTACATTTAACCCATGTAAAATATAGGAAAACATCTCAGTTTAACTCATAAAGAATAAAGGCACAAATATTTGATTTCAACTACAGAAGAAAAAGTTTGTTCATATTTTAATTTAACACATAAAGGAAAATATTTTTTCTAGCTAAATTAAGACTGTTATGTCAAATATCTGAGGCTAGCTTATCATTAGCATAATCACAAATAATGATTCATGACTAATAGAAGGGGCAAATAATTTACTTTAACACAGAAATTGATTGGCAAATAATTTAGTTTACTCCATGAAGAATATAAGGAATAATAATTTTGTTTAACTCATGAAGCATATATGGGTAAATGTTTTCATTTCACTCCTTAAGGCAAATATTTTAATTTAACCATTGAATAAGATGAGAGATATATTTGGTTTAAACTGTAAACAATATAAGAGCAAATATTTTTACATGAGCTTATGCAGGACACAAGGGAAACTAGTTTAGTGGCAAATACTTAATAGTATGTGCAAAAAAATTAATTTGTGAAATATACAAGGGCAAAAATTTTTGTTAAACCCATGAAAATTATAAGGGTAAACATTGAATGTAACTCATAAAGAATGTCTTAAGTATATTTTCCCAAAGAAGAAATTAGATTGAAATATTTTACCATACATTTCATAAAATTATTTAGAAATGATTTGACTCCTCTTCAAGTATAATTCATGTAATAATGTTTAGGCATTAATATTGATTAGGTGTTTTGTGTTCTTGGCTGCAAAATGTGATAATATTTTGACACTTTTGTAGAAGTAATTGCTACTCTCTGCAGATTACTTTTTATGCTAATGTTCACCTAATACAAGGTCTAAGAGCCACTCAGGGTAGAGGGTTACTGTGTGATGTTAGATGAGCATAAAAAAGTAAGAAGTGAAGTTCATAGGGTTATGTAGGAAAGATAAAGGTTAGCACTAGACTTGAATAGGTCAAAATTGTAGTGATTGGGAAAACATCCTGCTGGGTGTCTGTTTACCAAAGCAGCAGTTCTTCTTGGGAAGAAGTTATTTGAGTGGAACTTACTTGTTATTAATGGAAATAATGAAAATAATACAAAAAATAAAAACTAGTTATTTACAATTTGTGAAATACAAGAATATGAAAATTAAATCCTTTTATTCTCATTGTTTTCTGCAATTTGGAAATTCATAAAAAATATAAGAGAAAAATTTATCAGAAAATTGTAATGGCCTTCTTGGAAAACTGTGGAAGAGATCTGGTATTAGAAAAATCTGACAGTTTGTGAATTACTTGAATCCTTCAATTATTTCAAATAAATGGTGTTGATACAAAGTTGAGGATTAAGTGGTTGTTTCATTTCTATTTTTATTCTCTGATTCTTTTATGAACTTGTACATGTTTTTACATATTTAATCATTTTCTGTACAAATTTGCATGTAAGCACATTTATGTATTTGGAAAAAATGTTTGTTAATGTTTCTAAATCTGTATTCAGTATGTGTACATTAATGTGTGAGGATATATTTCAGTGTAGAGTGTAACATTTTAAAATTTCTGATTAGTTAATGTGTTGACAAGTGTACATATGGATTTATTTACAAAAATATCATGTACATGTTCTTATATTTACCTGTACAAATTTTATGTCTTGCAATTCAATACTGTTTTCTTTGAATGAATATATACTGAATTTCTGAAAGATATGTATATATCATTCACCTAATTTTTTTTTCAAAATATATTTTTTCTCACAATTTATTTTTCTACTTTCTATATTTCATTTTCTTTGGATCCAAAAGCTTTTCGAAGATACCATGCCCAGTAACCAAGACTGAACAAGAAGAAAATGACTGGAAATGTGACTCGTGATATAACATCCATGCGTTTAGCCTTGGATCTCATCTGTGCATAGGTTGTATCAGGTGTTTCTGTGCCAACATTGCCATTCTCTTCACATACATCCTGTTGGCAGAAATAAAAATTGTATAAAGTATTTGCAATCATTTCAAAATAATTCAACTGTAGAAATAACATTATTAACCTAATTCAAACTGATTCTTTACTTATATGGATTTGAAATGAAACAAAAAATAAATAAGGTTTTCTTTCTCTTACCTGCAGTGAGAGAGTTTTAGTATCGTATCAACAATTATGTGCAGCCCTTTGAAGTCATTTTAAACTGAATATATATTCTAATAAATATAGTATTTTAAATAGACAAATAGGTTAGATTTGAAATTTGATCATTTTGCTGTCAGCAAACTGACACATACTTAGTATATATGAAATTGACAATATGATGTTTATCCATGTATTTATCCAAGAATGTATTGCATATTCTACAATCTTTTATATACTGAGAGCATATATTGATAATGGAAATATTACTGATTGCATAATTAATTTATATTAGCATAATAATTCTTACATAACATAATAATTCTTAATGTGTTAAGATTATTAGTTCATATTTTGTTCAATTTTGTAATATTTCTGCAGTAACAGACAGAAATACATTTTTCACATAAGGAAATATAATCAAATATAACAATAAGTGATAAGAATAAAAATTTTGAGTTAATATTTTCTTACCCTATTGACATTGATGGTCTGTTTTATTGTTTTGTTATTCTGTATTAATTTAATGGAGAGTCGTTTAGTTTCATGACGTGAATAAGTACTGACAATAGCATATTCAAGAAGAGCAGCAAACACAAAAACCAAGCATGTGACAGTCCAGACATCAATAGCTTTTATGTAAGAAACAGGAGGCAGGGAAATGGCTGTAGATTGTCGTTGTGTGATCATAATAAGAACTGTGGTACTACCAAGAGCTATACGAGCTGGAACAGCATTGATTGGAAGCCAGAAAGAGACCCAAGAGATGAAAACAATCATGGTGCTGGGAATAAACACCTGAAGGAGAAAAAACTCAACACGGCGCTGGAGATGAATATTTGCAACAATACATGTAAATGAGTTTTCTGAAAAAGAAAAAAAAGATTCGGTAAAAAAATCTAAAAGCAAACAATTGGTTTGCTATCCTCTCAGTTCAAAACTTTGATTTTTATTGTAAACTTTGTTATTATCATTATTATCCAAAGGATTAGATTATTACAATCTCAAATTATAGGTAAAATGATTAATGACAGAAAAAAAAAAAAAAACACTGAGACAAAATTTGTTTAATGTAAGTAAAAATTATATCATCTTGTGAATTTAACTAAAAATTTGGATCCATGATGATGGTAGGGCTTGGATAAGTGTGCAGAAAAGCATGCAATTAAAAATTAAGTAAGGCATGTATATGTAAAACAATATTATTCATTTTGTGAAGAATTTAATACAAGGTAACCAAAAAAGTTCTGTCCATTTTTAAAGGAAAAAAAAAATGCTTCACAGTATGTATAACTTATATTTAGTCTTCAAAGTAATCGCCATCAGCATCCAGCACCTTCTGCCGACGTGTCTCCAGCTGTTCAATGCCCTTGCTGTAGAACTCGGAGGGGGGTTTGACGCAAAGAAGTCCGTGAGGGTTTTGCACAAGTCTGCTTCATTGGTGAAGGATTTCCCACAAAGATGATTATCCAGGGAGTGGAAGAGGTGGTAATCGGATGGCGCAAGGTCAGGTGAATAAGGTGAATGGCACAAAGTCTCCCACTCAAGTTGCTGTATGGTATCACTGACCACTCGCGTGACATGCGGCCTGGTGTTGTCATGGAGGAAAAGCACATTTTGCGATTCACCAGTTTTGGCTCCTTCTGGTGCAATGCCTGTTGTACACGTTTCAATTGTTGCGAGTATAGGTCTCTAGTGACCGTTTAGCCCATTGATAGCAGTTCATAATGAACCACTTGACAACCTGTCCACCAGACATAAAGCATAATCTTGCGTGGGTGTATAGGCGGTCTTGCGGTGTGAGGGACAGCATCCTGAGGAGACAACCAATGTCTGGAATGCTTTTCATCACTGGTAAGCACTCAATTGAATAAGGATGCGGTATGGTGGTGAGAAAGCAGCGATATGCAGGCTGCCACTCATTGTCCCTTGTGGACCTCCACCAGCGTTTGCGGAACCCACTTGTTCAGTTTGTACGTCTTACCTAGGCAGTGCAGGTGAAGTCTAACTATTTCATTGGAAACGTTGAACTGTCTTGCAAGTTCACGACATGTTAGACTACTGTCCTCTTCAATGGCCGCCTTCAGGACTCCGTCATTCAAGACCTGTGGTCGTCCATTGCGAGGCTCATCATGGAGAGACAAATCTCCCAACTTGAATTTTTGAAACCAACGCCTTGCAGTACGTTCATCCACAGCACTATCCCCAAATGCTTGACATATGCGGCGACTTGATGCAGCTGCTGATAAGCTCACTTTGAAGTCGTAATGCAAACAGCCCTGAATGAGATCTCTAGACACTTCCATCCTTCTCACAGCTGTCTGGCTTATAACTGATGGCCGGGCACGGTGCGTGTGTTTTTTATAATGTCTGATGTTCCTACTTCTGGCTGTCCGAATTCGAAAACAATTGCTACATGCATTTCATATATATTTCAACTTCATTCAATGACTAATCAAAAAACGGACAGAACTTTTTTGGTTACCTTGTAATTCTTAGCAAAATTAACACTATTGTTGTTTATTTTTTTAGTATAAGATTTAAACTTAGGAGTAAATGAAAATAATATTTAAACGTGAAAATCTTAGAAATTTATAGAAATAGAGAAATTTACAATAAAATATTTTTTTACAATCAATTTTTCATTTGATTCAATATTTTTAAGTCTCACATCAGATTAGCATTGAATTAAATTTGAATAATTTGATTAACTTTTTATGCTAGTTCATCCCTCAACCTTTTTCTGGGGTGGGATGAAATTCAAAAGTAGTCCTAGATTTAAAAAAAAAATACTAATCTCAAAATGAAAAGGTATTTATTTTACACAATAAATATTTGTTTTTCAATATATTCTTCTTCCTTGTCAATTCTTTCCTATTGCATTTCAACCACATAAATAAAACTTTAGAGTGAAATTTTCAACTAAAAATAACTATATCAGGCTATAGGATTATTGATCTACCCTATCTTGTATGTATATATGTTTGTGTGTGCATGTATGCATGTGCACGTGTATATGTATGTACATGTATGTGTTTATACATGTGTGATACAGTATCTCTGTGTGTGGTCTATATATATATATATATATATATATATATATATGAATAATAAATATTTAGAGAAGGAGAGAGTGAGTAAGAAATACACCTTCATATTTAATGGAACAATTCCAGGGTTGAATAGCTGAAATTTCAAACTGGGCCATCTCCATATTTTGGAAATGTGACACTGGGTCATTTTCCATCCATTTGAATATCACATTATCTGGTGTATATACAACTGAAAAGAAAAGAAAATTTTGTTGCTAAAGACAAATTTGCATGAATTATAGAAATTTTATCCAAGTTTGTCTTACATTTCATCACTTGTCAAATTTTTCTCCTCTAAGGATGTTCATTAAAATTTTTATTGTTTTTATTCAGCATATCATTTGATTTAATTACACCAATTAACAGTAAGAATTTTTTCCTAATTAAAATGATAAAGAGGAGATAACTCAGTAATTCTTCTGTTTCATAGGGCAGATCTGGCCTTAAGAGGTGTGAAGTTTAATGGCAAATTAAAATCTGCATGGCATGCCTATTTCCATGGTCAAAAATAGACATTACATTAGGCTACCATGGTATCAGTCACTACTATTGTAACATGACAACATACAAAAAGCAGTAACCCTTTCTTTTTTTGTTTTCTCACTCTGGACATTGCTCATGATGTTCTGCACTTTTATATCTGGTTTGCCACTGTAGAAAGATGTATGTAGCTGTCTCCCAAAATTCAGCCTTCACAATTAGGAATTATATTATCCTGAAAATTCAGTTACAGATATTTTATACACAAACCACACATGTACATTTTTTCTTATTATTTGTTTATTGTAAATTGTTTTCTGTGTAACTGAATAGTTTGGTCTTATTAACTGGTTGTATCCCATCTCACATGATTTGCTTTTCTCTCTCTTTCTCTCCAAATCTGTTTTCTACTACTGCTAGAATTAATGGGAGTGACATGCAATAACATCACTTGTTACTTTCAGATAGCATGACCATTAATCTTTGAATATAATTTTAGAGAGTTACTTTTAAAAGCTTTAGCTAAGAAAAGGATAATACCCACAAGAGAGGTGAAGAGACCAACTGGGGACAATTTTGGCAGGCTCCATTTTCCAACCAAGGTTTGTAGACATGAGGCCCATTTAGAAGCAATGGGCTCACTCAGCTAGCCTTACATAGGGAATCTTTTAATATTTTTTTACTTGTTCTGCTTTAAATACTTACAGCTTTTAATGACAATAGAACATATTTGTGTATCTAATGGGAAGTTTTGAAGATTCATTGGGCAAGCAGCAGTCATTGTTAACCTACAAAGAAAAACAGAAGAGTTTATGGTATTGTAATAAGAGAGCGCTATGAAAGAAAAAAATTATTCTCCCATTTGAACCGCCCCCTCCCCACTGTCGTGGGTTTTATTATATCTGTGATGCAATAATACCATATTTCACAGATGGAATGGAATGGCTGAAAGGGAATGGAATGGCTGAAAGGGAAAGGAATGACAAACATGCTTCGTTCTCAGAGAGATTTTTATACTAAGACATACACAAAACTATTTTTACATATATACAAGTCTCCCACACAGAGAATAATATATATATATATATATATATATATATATAAACACAGCAAAACAGAGTGTAAGGAGAAACAAAAAGGAAGGATCTTACATATAATATGGAGATGCTCCTTTGTCTGGGAAGCATATTTAGGACTCCAGATTCAAAGAGGCTAGATTCATCAATGTCTCAGGCAAAGACATATTCCATGAATGGGAAACAGCAAGTCCTGGCTTTTCCCAAATGTGAGCTGGAGTTTCTTGCTATATTTAGGAAAGATATTCCCAAAGGGAAGTGGCACTATGTTCTTGTAAGTTGCTAGGGGTGGGAAGCAGATTTAGCCTCAGCCTGGGCCTCTTGGCCTAGACTAAAAGAACGCAGTTTCATGTGGTGGCTACTGTAAATGAACTTCCAATTTCTTTAATGTATGGAGTGACATCATTAAGTGGCTATCATGTGATCTATGTGACTTATTCAACCAAAGGGAGATAAGTGCCTTCTGTATCCATACAATATCATCAAATAAAATGTGCAAGTTATTTTTACATTTGTACACAAATCTCTAAAGAGATTCAAAAATTTTATATGGCACCTTGAGTAATATGTTTAATCAATATCCGTATCATTTTTAGTAGAACTGTACAGGATAATAAAAGAAATGGGAAATTTCTTTTAACTTAGACATGATATATGCAACCATAGTCTCCATTTCACTTTCTTTTCTTGCTTAGTATAAGTGTTTTTCCAACATGAAAAAGGTATGAAGATTTATTGTTCACATGCCAAATAAAAACCTAATTTATTGAAAAATGGCACAGAGTATCCAATTATTTAAAGCAGAAATATTATCTTGAAATTTTATTAGATGAAGTATTGTCAACCCTTATTAATTTTTTAATAGTATTTCTTTTATCTTTATTTCAAATACTTTTCATTACAACTATTTTAATAGCTGTAGAATAATTATCTGAGTAGTTGAGATGAAAGACAAATAGCAGTAAGAGGAAAAAATAATCGAAGATAATAATAGTTGAAAATATTTTGAATAGGTTTTAATTAATAAAGGTGACAAGGTTGACAGCTGCTTTGCTATATAAAAGTCAATTAAAATAAAAGTAATATTTTATATGGCTACATTATTTGTTACATTGAATAAAACAACTAATTTCACTGTGCTATTACCATAGTAATGAAACAAGAATAGCAAACAAAAAATAAAATGAATGGTCAAGATATACAATAAAGTTATGTAGATAAACTATTAAAATGAAAAAGAAGCCATCAAATGTAGGATTTAAGAAGATAAAGGTATACTTTTAAAATAAATTCAACTAACTCTAAATTAGTTTAATACAATGGTTTATTGCACAACTGACTGACAAAATGACCTAGTCAAAATTTATATTTTTCTTGGTCCCAAAAACTATTTGTAATTTTTAAAACTTACTTTATCAGCTGATAAACTATAGAAGGTGTTGTGACTTGTTCGGGGCCAGAAAGAAAGACACAGAATGAAGGCAGGTTAAACAAGTTATGTTAAAATAACAGAACATATATACAAAGTAAGAGTGCTATTAGTCAGCAGATAGAAGTGTCCATCTGAACTGTCAGATTACAATGTGTTCCGACTGCCAATATTTAACCATCCCCCCCATGAGGAATGTATGTGGCACAAGGTCGAGTTTAATGTGGGTTTCTCTGAGCCCGTAGGCACAGCCAAAAATATTCCCATTGAACCCACATAAGTGGGTTCGGGATCTGTCTACTTCCCCAGACGAAACTTTGGCTTCAGCAAAGCTTCGTCCGGGTTCCTCTCTGCCAAAGCAGAAAGTTTGACAGAAGACGCACACAGTCAGAGACTGCGGATCAACTGCCTCCTGGGAAGTTTTGCAGGTTAGTATTTATGAAGGAGGAAGAGTTCATTCTAATGTAGATAGGTCACCATCACAGAAGGAAGGAACAAAACTAATTTGATTTTTTATATTCTTTATGGAGTTATAATTCTTATAAGGTTTCAAAACTGTAAATGAATTTTCCAGAAACCATTCAAGATTATATTCATTGAATTATACTATACAAACCTAAGTTCAAATAAGAAAAATATAAACTGCTTTTTATACAGAAAAACATTCAGATGATATTTATAATTTAAATGTATTCATTAGTCTCAAAGTATAGAAACTATCTAACTTGATTGCCACTATGGCAAGTTGGAGCTTCCTTACTTTGCTTGATTCAGCAGCTGCAGCAGTAGTAATGGAAATAATCAGCAGAGTACAACTGGAAATCCCAGAAGTCATAAAATTGCTAAGAGCTCCATTTGGCCTCTTCTCTATCTTCCTTTTCAGTGGCCTCTACCTGCATGGCCTGCACTTTTCTACTTTTCATTTTTCAGCAGTCACAACCTTTAAGCCCAGCATGAAGGACTGTACATAACTCTTGCTGCAGAAGATAAGGCCTGTCCTGACAGCTTGATTCATATTTCTTGTTTCTCCCATGGGAACTGGTGGAGTAATCCTTCTCAACAAAAACAACTACTCAAGAACTTTCTTAACTGGGGAACCTCACTTTTTCTTGCAAAATACTACTATTTAAACAGAAATAAAAGCTGTTGAACAGTTATTTCAAGCTTTGGATTTTGTTCATTCCTTGCTCACTGCTGAGCACAGACACACATGCAACCGGGAAAAATTCCTAACAAAAGTGTACACAAAAATGTTGTTGAAAACAGAAATTACATGATGAATCTTAAACTTTCTACTCTATGTGATAAAAGAAAAATAATTGCAAGTAATCTTTACTTTAAAAATATTTCCAGATATCAGCATCAAAAGTTTTGAAACATAAAGAATGAAAGTAATTCTAAATCTCATGATTATTATACTAGTATTTTTTATATCATAAAAGCATTTTTCTATTGTGGTGACACAGATAATAAAAAGAAAACTATCATTTTTTTTCTATCCTTTTCATTTTTTATCAAGATCTCATTATCAAACTAAAATAATTCTTATTAGTTTTTTATTGTTTGAATATCAAACCAAATTTATGTTGGACTCACCTTATTCTGTATTTGATGGTGCCATTGCGGTAAAGATGCATCATTTTGTTGGGCATTGTAACATGATGAAATGAAGCTTGCTTCTCATTGGCAAAGTACAAGTCTGGCACCCACACTTTATCAATGAATTTTGTATTCAGTTCCAAAAATTTGTCCTTTAAATATTTTGTGTAGTTTAAGCGTGGATCATTCCAAATTTGAGTAAGAATAAATGTCATTGTGTAATCCTGAAGACAATCAGAAAGAAGATTTATAAGTTACAAAAGAATTTCTAAAAATCAAACTTCTTGTAGTTGTATGAAATGCAATTGAATTATTTAAACTAATATTTTGTTTCAGTAAGGACAAAGAACAACAAAATTGTCTCCCTTTATGTTCTCATGAGTTAGACCAAATATAGGTTTAATATATCCATATACAGGAAATAATGTCACAAGTTATCTTGACTGAGTGCTTGATCATAATAGCTTTGTTGAAAAACTTTTGATCACACCATATTATGCACTCTCTTAAAAGAATTTATGTGAAAAAACAAAACAAAAAACAACCAAACCTATGCCCCTTACCATTATCTAAGAGTGAATACATTATTAACCAATGAGGTGTCTGAATGGGAATTTTCTTGATAAACATTGATTTTGAGCCTGTTTATAGTGATATTGTGTCTAGCTTAAGTAATATATGGATGAAAGAGAAAAACTCATCATTTGGATTATTTTCCACAAATTAGTAGAACAGTATTTGAAGCCTCCATGATAATTTAAAAAGATAACTGTGTAAGCCTACAAACATCTAAATATAAACAAGATCACTTGGCTGGTTAAAAATCACTATTCATTCACACTTTATCAGTGGATAGTCACACAGACGAGGGTCAAGTACATCAATAAACATTTGGTGAGAAGAACTTTCAACTCTGAAGCACAAAGTGGTCAACCGAACAACAAACAAAACATAATGCAGACAATAATTTATCTTTAATCATAATTCTTCATTTCGTACTCCTTATTGTACAATATATGTTTTGCTACTATAACTGACTTATCAACTTCTCACAGTGGGGGACATTGAATACAACATGTGGACTTTTTTGTTTCCCTTTACCAAAGACATTTTTTAAATTTATCAACTAATATAAGTCACACTTTTACATGAACATTTTTCTGTATCTGGCTAAATTTTTTTAGACTCTCAAAAGAATATTTTGATTAAGCCTTTATGATTTTCATTTCTTTTTACATAAATTACTGTAAATAAATTTCTTCTATTCAATTCACACTAAGTGGCCTTCTTTCTTGTGCACCTAATGAACTAATTTTTATTTTTTGTCTGTATAAGAAAATCACCATACTCTCTAATAAACTGTAACTAAGTTCTGCTCAGTATATTTGCAGTATAAAATACAGGCTGGCCCTGTGGGTGTTGAAGAAACACAAATGTGCCTGAGCAGGTGTCTACAACAGGAATTAGATAGCTACCCTAATAGACAGCCATACTCAGTTATGAATGCCCAGCCATTTACCATCTCTACTGCAAGAAACTACCATTCAATGGATTGTACTTGAATTTGAATTGTTTTGTCTAAAGAAATGAATAGTGATGCTAGGTAAAACTTACAGTTATCTATTGTAAGGAGCAAATCATTTACTTAGCAGCTCCTAAATAATTAAATACAACTTATATAACATGACAGACATACTTAAAGGATAAGCATCAAAAGGTAATCGTAATTGTATTTAACATGGAACATATAAAAAAAAATATTTAAAGAATAATATCAGAATAATATTTACTTTGGAATAACCTTAAAAAGTAAATATGACAAATTGTGGTAAAAATTATAAAGAGAAATGAAGTCAGCCATCAAAGCTTCACAAACATCAAAAAGCAATAATTCAAAGGAAGATCATGAAATCATGACTACCAAACCATATAGGAAAGAAAAAGGGAGCATAGTGTCTCCTTTTTAATAAGATTAAAAGAGAAGAAAGATTACATGTGAAACTCTGTTAATTGAAATTGGCAGTATATATGAGTTTGTCAAAAATACTATAAGTAGACTTAATGCAGATATTAGTATCATAAGAATATCAATGGTCAAAAATAAGAGAAGTGAATAGCTATTAGGAGTTTCAATATCTCAAATGGATAAAAAAATAGATGATTAAATTTTCCCATATTTGCTATATAAAAATGTATGTATTTTGGTTGGTTTTAAACTGACTAAAATATGTCTGGTCAACACAAATCTTTTATGTGGAGTGTACTTTTTTTGTTTTGGACCTGTTAGCTTAATATGTTAATTTCAATTGGCCATGTGTGTGCATATATATATATATATATATATATATATATATATATATATATATATATATATATATGCATGCATATGTGTATATATGTGTATGGGAATTTATACATATGTATTGTGTGTAGTCTGGCTTACTTCCAGTTTTTGGTAACTAGTGTAATTCTAATGTAATTCCTTGATAAAAGCAAGAAAAAAAAATTGAATTGTGAAGTCGCCATTTTCAAGGTTTTGAAAGAGGGTTGGTCATCCTGGCACCTCATTGAATTCCATCTACCAAGTGACTTTGTCTTTGTTTGGACCCCCACTTTGCTAAACTATGCAACCTATTGCATTTGGTTTCTGAAATTGAGACGTATTTATAGAATCTGCCAAACTTTCAATAAATGACCATTGATTCGAGCTTAACAAGATTAATATGAAATTTGAATTGTAAGTAATAAGAAATTCTTTTTTCATGATGTTATTTAGAAATGTATTTTTTTAAAATTTTTATTTTTTTGTGTTTTGGACCTGTTAGCTTAATGTGTCAATTTCAATTGCATATCTTACCTATCTTCTGCCTCCTCACTAACTCTGAACGACAAAACTTTTACTCCCTTTCTTTTTTTTTTTAAATATATATATATACATATATATATATATATATATATATATATTGGGTAAGTATTTCACTGTTGGACTGTCATCGACTAAACTGATTTGCAAAACAAAATAAGACCTAACAAAGGGTGGAAGAAACTCTCAAAGAGTTAGAAAATTTTTTGCAGATGAGTAAAAAAAAATCAATGGACTTGGAACGTTTTGATATTCAACAACTGTGGCCAGTTGAAAATGTAAAACAGGCTAAAATGGAGATTTTGTCAGTGACAATCAAGGAGTTTATATATGACAATCATAGGAAAAATGATAAAGGATGATAAAGGATTGATACTAGATCAAGAATTCAAGAATTATGTTCTGGGATACTACCAATTATCCAAAAGAATTCTGGTAGTCAAGCTGAAAGGAAAGCCTTTCAATATAGCTATCATAATAGTGTATCCACTGACAGTACAAAGTAAAGAAGAAGAAATCAAATCTTTCTACTCCATACTAGACGACACCAAGGCTCACTGCAAATCACAAGAAGTCATAATTATCATGGGAGACCTGAACACCAAAGTAGGCAGAGGAGATAGCTGGAAAATTCGTACTAGGAGCCTGCAACAAAGGTGGAGAAAAATGGGTCCAATAGTGCACAGCCAATGACCAGTTAATAGCCAACACATAGTTACAAGAACATCTGAAACAATTATAGACATGGAGAAGCCCAGGAAGAGAAACTAAAAACCAAATTGACTACATAGCTATCAAGAAAAATTTAGGAATGCAATGAATCAATGCAAAACATATCCAAGTTCTGATGCAGAAGTGACCATCACCCTGTTAAATATAAACAAAGAGTGAAACTATGGAAACTGAAGAAGCCTAACACAGCATTCAAATTGCAATACAACAAACTCATGAGCGACACCCCCCCCAAAAAAAAAAAAATATTTGGGTCGTGTGAAAAGAAGATACAAGGGGCAAAATGGAAATGGAAACTCAAAATAGAATGCACTAAGAGAAGCTTTAGTGACATCAGCAAACAATATGTTCCCAAAGGAAAATGGACAAAGAACAAAAAATGAATGGATCACTGATGAGATTCTCAATATGATGCAAAGGAGACAAAACTCTGCCAAGATATGGAATGGAATACAGAAAACTACACAACAAAATAAGGACCAAATGCAGGCAGGCTAAAAAGAAGAATGGCTAAAAAAAAATGTGCAGAAATAGAGAATTGAGTACCAAAACAAAGGAGATATGCATAAATAAATAAGGGAACTAACAGGACAAAGACATGCTCATCCACAGGCTGCATAAAATCCAAGAATGGAATGCTCATATTAGAGAAGGAAAAAATTCTTCAGTGCTGGAACAAATATATTGGAGAACTCTTCCATGACAAAAGAATTACTGATAGGCCTGAAATTTTGAAAACTGAAGTAGAAGCTGCACTGGCCAAAATTGAATAGAAACAAGGCAGCAGAGCCAAATGGAATTGTAAGAGAGATGCTGACAGCCTTAGATGATTTTGGCATAGACAAGATTACAGAAATAATAAATGAAATCTACAACAGTGGGGATATACTGGAAGATCTAAGCAGATCTATTTTAATAGCACTGCCTAAGAAACCAGGCACAAATGAATGTGAACTCCACTGAACAATCAGCCTAATGAACCACATAACAAAACTCATCATCCATATTCTGATGAATAGAGTGCACAGCAGAATCAGGCCAGAGATAGGACAAGAACAGTGTGGGTTTGTTAAAGACACTGGAACAAGGAATGTAGTATTCATGCTCAGAATGTTATCAGAGCAATAAAAATGCAGAAGGACATGCACCTGTGTTTTATAGACTATGCAAAGGTGTTTGACAAAGTGTGCTACAAAGATCTGTTAGAGCTGCTCAGCAACCTTGACATATTCGGAAAAGACATTAGAATAATCAAAAAACTTTACTGGCAGCAAACTGCCTGCATAAAGATAAAAAATGAGTTCAACAGATATACAAAAATAGAAAAGGGAGTAAGGCAAGGATGTGTCTTTTCTCACCAGACTTATTCAGCCTATACAGCAGGCAATTCTAAAAGAACTGGAAAGCCTACCAGGATTAATCACTGGTGGCCACAATCTTAACATAAGATATGCAGATGTCACAGTGCTGATATCAGACACAGAAAAGAAATTACAAAACACAGAAGGTAATGAAGGAGAGCAAGAAGAAGGGACTAAGCATAAACTACAAGAAGACAGAATGCATGGTCATCAGTAAAAGGATGAACCTGAAATGTGATTTATAGATCAAGGACACTAAAATCAAGCAGGTTTGGAAATTTAAATATCTGGGAAGTGTTCTGACAGAGGACAGTAAGTGTGACACTGAGATTTGAAGACATATTGGGATGGCCAAAGACACATTCCAAAAGGCAGAGGAGGCTTTTGTTAGTAACAAAGAAAAGAGTACTGAACTGCTATGTGATATCTGACAGCAAATGTTGGATGGTTCCTCAAAGATTAAGAAGAGACTTAGGTAAAAAACAATTATTGACATATTTAACTTAAGCAAGTGGATGGCAGAACAGGATCTGGGAGAAATAACAAAAGATTTATTTATAAGAGACAGGAAGTAGTCAAGAACAATGATTGCCTATGTCCTAAAGGGACATAAAAAAAGAAGTTCTCAATGAGGAAATGATGACATACAAATGATTGATTCTCAAATTATATTCTAAATTCAGAAATAAAAATATATAGGGATTTACAAAATAAGATATATTCTAAAGAATTACAAGGTAATTTCATATGTTTAGGATATCACAATATATTTCTTGAGGAAGCATTTAAAATTATAATTTTTATACTAAATATCTTAAGTTGTCCAAATTTTATAGTTGAAGTATTCTTATTATTTGTTAAACAAATCAATCTTTTCAATGTTTGAAAATGTCTTTTGAACTTCAATCCATTCGATCAAATCCTTTCATGAATTTCATCATTTAAAAAATCAAGTACTAGGAACGTATTACTGTACACTATTCTTTTCAATGCCACTGTTATAATCAACATCACAGTTTTTTTTCTGAAGCTGAAATTTTAATTGATATTAATTGGTATTTTTTTTAATGAAACTATCAAGTTTTAAAATATTTTTAAATATGTCAAATGTATACATGCTTTCTTTGTGAGCTTAAAGACATTTATTTAGTTTTCTCAGGTCAAAATTTGAATCATATTCTCCCTGAAGTTAAAATATATTAAAAGCTATAACTTTAATTTTAAATCTCAATCTTTCATGCATTATTTTTCAGATTATCTTTGCAACTGAAAACATTAATTATTAAGAGAAATATTAAGACATTATTTCCTGTTTGAGTAAACTGTCATTGATTATTTTGAGGACAAAATCATAAAATTAGCCAGAATTTATATGAATGTGAATTAATTAATCAGTCATATCAGAAACAGGATTTCTTGTTGCAAACTAATTCTAGTTAAAATTCAAATCATACTAGTATTCAAAGTTACCTAAAATAGCAAATAAGCTTCAGTTACTAACATAAATTATAAACAGTGAGAATCTTAAATATTATCTCTGAATAGTTACATAACAGAAGAGTTAATATATTTGGTTGTATAATTTCTATGCCAATTTATCACACTTAAGACCTACAGAAGGTCTGGATGAATATATCTAGAACAATTAGTCTAAAGGAACTGGAGAAATCCAGATATTAGAATTGCATGTTCAACTTCACATGGAGAATAACACATGGATAGATCAAGAAGTTAAAGTATTTTGAAATTAGAAATAATTTATTCTAGTCTACTTAAATTCTATTTTTTATCAGTGGGTGTTGTTTTACATATGATGAAAAAATCGTGTTTCAGTTTGAGAATAAAAGATGTCATATATGGGTGGAGAAGATCTCCATCCATTCATTTATTTATAAAAATAACTATATTAAAAGAACATAATATAGAATTTAGAAATTGAAGAATTTATTTGATTCAATTCAACAAAACTTGGTTTATTTCATAATTCAAACTTATTCTAAGGACATGTTGCAGACTTATATACTTACCATTGTAGATTCTGATATTGAGTCAATACTATAAATGTATATGTGAACTCTGACCTCTGTTGGAATCTCTGCAATGCAAAATAATGCAAAAATAATAATAATAATATGAAGAGGAAAATAATAATAATAAAAATAATAATAATAATAATAATAATAAATTTTCCTTGAAATTCAGAGATATTTGACTAGAGAGGTAAGGAGAATGAAATCTATTAAGGCAAAAGATGAATGGCTCAAGAAGTGTGTAAAGATAAGAAACACTGTGTGACACAACGAGCATGCATAAACAGATAAAAGAAATAACAGAACAGAAGATGTGTTCTGTCAGGATGTATGAAATCTAAAAAGCGTATGATGAAAATATAAAAAGAAAAGAGACTTTGAAGATGGAATAAATCAACTGGAGAAATCTTCCATGACAACAAAGGCAAGAAACCTACAACAGATAAAAACATAGGAAAACCTGTAATATTAAAATCTGATGTAAGATCATCACTGACCAAGATGAACAGAAACAAAGCAGCAGGATCAGATGGGACAGTAACAAAAATGCCACCAGCTTGAAACAATTTTGGAAGTGATAAGATTACAGAAATATTAAATTAAATATATGATAATGGGAAAATACTGGAAGGTCTTAATGGGTCTGTTTTGATTGTGATATCAATAATGCCAGGTGCAAATGTATGCAAACTCTATTGGAGAATTAGAGCAGAAATCGGACCAGAACAGTGTGGCTGTTGCAGGTTACATTGTGTGTTTTTGTAAGGAAAAACATGTGTCTCCTGGAATAAACATAACAAAAATGGCGGACTCAGTATGTGAGTCCATCTGAATAAATGCAAAGAAACAACAAGAATTAAAACATGTACAAACAAATGATAATGTATTAACAAGAAAGGTATACAAGTGACGAAAACAATGATGTGTGTAACAAATGAATGTGAAAACCTTTTGGTTTAAAGGATATGAAGTGACTGAATGTGTTTGTTGTGTGTGTAGTTTATTCATACATTTCTCAATGGAAAACATGTTTTCCCACAAAAGACTTACATGTTGATGTGAAAGTGGAAAAGGTAAGAAGAAGCTATGAAAAATTATCACAGAGTATTTATAGTGCTGGAGAGCGTCCCCTATTAGCAGTTTTGGGAAAGTAAGTAGAGTTACCTCCACATGGCTTTGTTCCAGATACTGGAACAATACATGTTTATGATCAGATGTGGTCAGAGTTAGCAATACAAATGCAGAAAGACCTTTGCCTGTGTTTCATAGATTATACAAAAAACATTTGATAAAGTGCAACACAAAGACCTACTTAAACAGCTAGGAAAACTTGATTTATATGAGAAAGATATTTGAATAATCTGTAACATTTATGGGGAACAAACTACATGCAAGTTCAGTGAGTATATATGTAATGGAATTGGCAAATAAGATTTTATCTATTTGCATATGTTGTTTATAGGAGAAATAAAGTGTAGAGTAACGAGTTAGACAGGAGGAAGTTGACTACTGATCACGTGTCATAGAACAGCACAATACAGTATGGTGTCGCTGATGGGATGTTTAAATTGCTAGGATGAACCAGAATTTGTTGAGACTTTGATCCACTGTTTTGTAGCCCAGATTAGGGCTAAAAAATTGAAAGCAGCAAGGCAAGAGGGGGAGAAAATGAAATAATCAACCTCTTCCTAGCTTCATCAGGTTGTGAAACTATAATGAAAATTTCTTTTATTGCATAAACCAAACATTTTGAGAATTTTACTTTCATTGAAATTTCAGAAATGATAAAAAGAAATTTATGACCTAAAAAGAAATTTGCCATGGCAGAAAGAGCCAAATTTGTGTCCATTAAACAGAAACAAGATGAATCAATTATAAAATCTCTTCACAAATTTAATGATGCTAGCAGATTCTGTGAATTTGAGAAACTTGGCACTCAAGATTTGACAATTGAGGATGAATTGATTTAATTACATTTGATCGAAGGTATGGCTGATATATTTCATAAATATAATATATATTGGAACAATTACAATTAAATAATTTGTCTCTACCTGCATGTGTGGAAGTTATACAACAGTTGGAATTGATTAAAAAACAATTCTTCTGAGGAGAATGTTGAAACTTATAGCATAAAAAAGGAATGCAAGAAAAGCAAATACTGAAAGTATGAGCATGAAATTGACAGAAAAAGTGTCCGGCTTTTTAAAAAAATGCCGTAACTGCAGAAGAAAAAAAAATTTTCAGTCTATATGCAAAATTAAAAAGAAAATGAACAGTATAGAAAAACTGAAAAAAGAAAGAATTGATGATGTCTTTTTAATACAAAGACTCAAGGAAAAGAATCCTTTTGAAAAAATTAGATTAAATGGCAGGACTTTTCCAATGCAAGTGGATACAGGGAGTGAAGTTACTCTGATATCGATAAATTTCTGGAAACAAATGGGTAAACTGAAATTGAGACAATTCAAGGGATCTTTTATATAAAACTTTCTGCTACTTTTGAAACTTGTGACTGATTTGAAATTATCACACATTACAGTAGTGGAATGTAAAAAAATTCAGGGACTACTAGGAATAGATGCTCTAAAGGTGGATATATTGATTAATCAATACTGTAAAATCAGAAAAAGTAAAAATGGGAATCTTAAAGGAGTATAAAGTGAGCATTCAATTAAATGAAAATTGTATCCCCTCCTATTTTGAATCCCGTAAATTATGTATTCACCTTCTACCTTTAGTGGTTGTTAAATTAAAGAAAATGGTAGAGGATAGAATTTTGGAGCATGTTCCTCTGAGTGGCAGTAAATGGGCCTCTCCCATTGTAGTTTTACAAAAACTTATGAATATGTATTGATTTGAACCTAGGCATAAATCATAAAATATGCTCAGATTTGTTTCCTATTCTTAATATTGAAACCACTTATCCACAAATTATCTGGAATGAAATCTTTTGCAAAAATTGATTTAAAATCTGCCTATAATCAAATACAGATTTAAGATAAATTCGAGGAAATTACCATAATAAACACCTCCATAGGATTATTAAGATGGATGAGAATTCCTTTTGGTATGAAAATGGCAAGTGTCATTTTCCAGAGAGCAATGGGAAATGTATTAACTGACAAGATCAGTAATGATTATTTATCCAGATGATATTTGCCTCAGTGCAATCACTACAGATGAATTAAAACAAAAAACAGAACATATGTTAAACAAGTTAAAGATGCTGGGATGACAATAAACATAGATAAATGTGAATTTGATTGTGATAAATTATCATATTTATTGTATCAGATTTTCAAAGATGGTATTGCACTAGATCCAAAGTTAATTAAGAAAATTTCAGTGGTATCAATGGCTACTAATAAAAAAGAATTAGAATTCATTTTATGATTGGTTAATTTTTATAATAGATACCTATCAAAATAAAGCAACTTAAATAGAACCATTTGACATTTGATATATCTCTACAAAAATTGGTATTGGAAATTCTACAAGATCCAATACTAAGCAAGATTACTGAAAGAATAAGAAGAAACAGGTGGAATAATTGTTCCAAAGCTGAAAGACCTTATAAAGAAATAAGGCATAAATTAATGATGGAAAACTGCTATGTGCAATGGAGATGTGATAGTACCATCAGAAACAGTAAGAAGAGATGTTTTAAAAGGTGTACATGATGATGGATATGCAGAGGAGATTAAAGTGGGCGGCATGGTGGCCAAGGTATTATGGTGATATAGAAAGATATATACATAAATGCCAATGATGTGCAGGAATAAAGAATTTTTGACAGAGGAGAATACACTCATGGATTAAAGAAATGGAACATATGGACCATGCACATATTAATGGCATGGGTCTGTTTCTAATTTTAGTAGACTCATTTTCTGGATGTCTTGAAGCCATTAAAGTCAAAGATAGAAAAATGACTACAATAAAGCAAATATTAAGATTGATATTTTCTAGAAATAGAGTCCCTAAAACACTGGAATCAGATGACACACCAGAATTTTATGATGAAGATTTATGTAAATGGTTGAGGTGGATTGGCTACTTCCCATACAAAGCACCATCATATCACCCACAACCTAATGGGATTATGGAAAGAATGGTGCAGACAGTAAAAATGAGACTGAAGGTATTTTCCCCAAGTAGAGATAATACAGACAGTTATTTACCAAGGTTACTGCTTAGTTATAGAACGATTTCACATGCAGACAGATTGTAAAGCCCATCTGTCTTAATGGAAAGACAAATAAAATCTAAATTAACAATATCTTATTCAACAAATGAGAAGATATGATTAAAAAGACAAAGTAATAACTCTCTCGAGTTTTCTTCATGTAACACAGCCAAAGACCCAGAATTGAAGAGGAATATGTTGGGAATATGTTGGGATGGAAGAAGATCTTGACTAAGAAGAAAGGATGAGTTCTTCAGATCAAGATAATATAATAGAAGACAAGCCTATTGATGATAGTGGGATTGACTCAGATGTGGAAGAAGATGAAATGTGACCAAGATCTCCATTAAAAAGAACAGAACATAAACCTTGAGGGAGAGGGGGAAAGAGGTTGTAGAAGAAATTCAAGTACAAGGAAAGAAATTAAACCTATTTGTTTCAAGGAGGTGTAATGTGATTGGGAAATAGGATTTTATTTATTTGCATATTTTGGTTATAGGAGGAATAAAGTGTAGAGTAAAGAGTCAGATAGGAGAAAGTTGACTACTGATCACATGTCATAGAACAACACGATACAACAATATAAAATTAGAAAGTGGCATGAAACAAGGCATGCTTTCTCACTGGATTTATTTAATCTACACAGTGAGATGGTCTTAAGAGGACTAGGAACCCTGTCAGGATTTATTATTGTTGGACATAATCTTAAAGCATAAGATACACAGATAATATTTTGTTGTTAGCAGACTCAAAAAGGAAACTGAAAAGACTCTTCGACATGGCAGAAAAGGAAAGTCAGAAGAAAGGGCTAACTATTAATTGGAAGACATCAAATGTATGATTATCAGCAAGACAGCAGTTCAGAATCAAGCAGGCACAGAAATTTAACATGTTATGTAGTAACAGATAACAAAATGCAATACAGAAACCTGAAAATAAACTGGAATAGCAAAAGATGCCTTTCAGAATTTAAGCAAAGTAGTAAGGCATAGGAACATTTTGTAAGAAACAAAAAATTGCTGAAATGTCATGTGATATCTGTCCTCCCTTATGACAATGAATGCTGAACCATTTTTTACAGATGATGATGAGACTTGAAGCAACAGAGATGAGTGCTGAGAGTACCATTGATGGAACATATGAGCAGTGAGAAAGTTTTAAGGAGAACAAAAACTACAAGTATACTTATACTTTGAATCAGAAAGAGAAAGTTGAAATTTTAAGGACAAATTATGAGGAAAAAGAGCTTAGGACATACTGAGGGAAAGTGATGGAAAGTTACGACATGGGCACTCTTCTTTCTAAATTTACCCAAAATGATGTGGCCAAAAGTTAAATTGACAATGAAGTGAGTATGCATGTGTGTCAAAGGAAACAACAACATAGTATATTTAAAGATTAAATAAAGCTATTGATTTACAAGAAATATAGTTTTATATATATCTATACATTCACTTTAGAATAACAGCATCGTTCAAGGAATGAAACATTTATATACAACTGCTATTCTTTACTCAGCTAAACTTCATTCTGGTTATAAGAAATTTTAAAAAATAAATCAATGTATAATTGGTTTTAGGCTTTAAATTAAAGAGCATAATATTTGAATGTAATCAACTTTGATACTAATTTATTTCATTTTTACCCAATATTTTTCCAGAAATTAAATCTATATGCATTACAGCGTGTATGTATTTTGGAATATAATAATTTATTTGCTGAACTCTGAAAAGTTGATAAAATTAAACAAAAAGAAGTCAGTTTACTTACCTAGATCAAAATGTGGGGAAATTCGATTATCATATACTGATTCATATGTTAAATTTTGTATAACTTCTGACCTGGAAAGGAATGCAATAGTCATCTTTTTATAGCTTTAAAAAGCAGTAAGTGAAATTCTGCACTTTTGATAAAAATAAGTGATTTTCTGCAAAGGAGAATGTAATGTTTTTGTTGTAAATTAACACACTTATGTAATGTTGAGTCATTTTGAATGAAAACTGTATATTTTTTAACAACTAATCATATGAAGCAGTCAAGATTAAATTTGTAATACACTAACATACAACAATTTTCAACACAAAAGGCAGGGGAATAACAAGAGTAAATCTTCACAACAAGCACCAAAAGCTGAGTACCATGGAAGAAAGGTAATGTTGTGCACCTGATGAGATCATCCAAGTATTATTCATTTAGATTGTTGATTGATTGATTTGTGTTTTATGGCTTACCAACCCTTCCTGGGTTTGTAAAGCCAAAACATATTTTGGATTGTAAGAATAATTCTTTCTTTGTTTTGTGAGTAGATATTGCATTAACAATTTTTGGGAGATAACAATGATTTTTATAGATACTATTTAACCCATAGTATGGGGAGAAGGGCTGGGTTCATACCTTTCTCAGGTCTATTTACATATAAATGAATATAACAAACTCAATTGAAGTTCAAACTCTGTTCTCTATTTCTCATTTAGATCCACTATTACATCACCCATACTTCCTATTCATTTAGAATTCTTAAAACAATGAAACATTAAATACATACATACATACATATATATATATATATATATATATATATTATATATATATATATATAGTGGTATTCGCTTGGAAAAACCCTAGGTATTTTTCGCCTTGGAAGTTGAACAAACCAGTACCCAAGGAAAAATGAGGAATAAAAAAATAAAGAACTAAGAACATGAAATTGAGGCAAAAACAATCATCCAGAATTCAAGCTCAGAGTCCAAAGAAAAATTCTCCAAAACGAGTAAAAGTAACTGCATAAAGTGCTCAATACACTAAGTAGAGCAAACATAACATAAAACTAAAGAGCCAGGTAAACCTACCTAGGTTTCACCTAAATGGGTTGTCAGGGTAAAACTGGCTAGTTTTACCCTGACAATCTGTTCAGGTGAAACCTAGGTAGATTTATCAATGTTCTTTAGGTTTTATATATATATTATATATATATATATATATATATATATATACATTTATCAGCTACAACATGTCCATAGCAGTTTGGTTGAAAAGCATTAAAGCTTTCATCAGCAGAAAAAAAATGTTGTACTCTATATGACAATGCAAGGTGACATATTGTAAGAATAACAAATAAAAAATGGAATGGAAATTGGTTGCCTGTTCTATTCAATCTGCCATATTTATCTGATCTTGAACTAATGGATTATTACTTTTTTCAATCACTGTAAAACACACTGATGGGAAATTTTTCTTTAATGAAAACTAGATTCAAGAGTTCATTGAAAACATTTTCACATCAAAACCTGCAGAATTTTACTGAAAATTTATCAAAGAACTTCCTGATAAATGGCAACAAGTTGCTGCAAATAATGGTGAATATATATTGAATGAAATGTAATTGTACTTTATTTTTTGAAAACTCAAGTTGGTAAATAAGAGTGAAAATTATTTTTGACTGAACCTAATATAAATGTTTGATTAACTGAAATGTAACATCTGCATAAAACCAAAGTAATTTTTATTGAAATAAGAAATAAAACAAATAACTGTCTGTCAGTTGATTGTATATCTGTGACACTGAAGGAATGCTAATAATTTGAAGAAAGAAACAAAGGCTTAAATTGAAAGTGAACACAAAGACAAAGAAGGTAGTATGTGACCATCCCACAGTGTTGGATCGATCTTCCGGGAACCAGACCACGAAGGTCTCTCATCCCGGAATGAATTCTTTGTCAACAGCGACGAGGCAGGTAGCTAGAAGCTGGTCTCTGAGTCGACTTCACCCACAGTGAACTCCCTTGCCCACACTGTGAATTTGATCTCAAGGAAGCCACGTGGGTTTTCGCTAGGTGTCTCTCTGCCAAGTCGAACCAATCCGGACGCGGACGCACAATTGGGTAAATGAAACAGCACCAAATATAAACAGAACAATGCCTGAGTATGTTGTAGAAAAGAAAGTCTTTATATACAGAAGAATTCGGAGTACAATCACCAATTTTCTTCTTCCCAACCCCTGTTCTTAACAAGCTGACCACGGAACGGAAGTCTCGACTAATTTCTTTAAGGGGTGATTTTCATGTTTTCTGGTTGGCGTTATTTCTTCACTCTGGTCGGAGTTCTTGGTTGGCGTTATTTCTTCACACCGAAGCTGCACAGAAACTGACGAAGACTGTCTCTGATTGTTGCGGAGGTTGGCGTTATTTCTTCACTCCAGATAGAAATTTTACAATGACATTAAAAGTAACATCTGTTTTGTGTCAGGTATCCATGAGTGTGGGTGGGTAAAATACATATTCCTTGGATGGCGGCAACTGAAAGGTACTGGTGTGAGGTGCAAGCAAGAAAAAGTTCTTGGGAGAACAAGATGGTGGATCAATGTGTTGCTACTGCCACTCCTGCAAGAAGAGGCCCCCATATTTGGACATGCAACTTGCTTCCCAGGACACTGTCAGCAGAGAGTTCTGATTGGATATTTGGAAAAGCCTGGAACCCCAGATCATGTTGGACCCCACAATGATGTTGGATGAGGGTTCATAAAAATGTTAGACCAGAGGGGAATGAGGGTGAGAAGAGAGACAGAGAGAGAGTAGCAATTGAGGCAGAGACATGCTTCCATTAGGCCAAGAGGAGGTAATCACTTCGCCGATCCCCATGTGGTTTGCTGCCACAAAGAACTCCTAACTCATGCTTTGTTCCAGACTATTAGATAAATTGATCAGTGTGCCCTGATGAAAAAGTGGAAGAATTGAAAGTCTCTATATAACCACAGAGAGAGAGAGAGAGAGAGAGAGAGAGAGAGAGAGAGAGAGAGAGAGACGAGTGTTTTGTGAGCGTTCCATAATTTGCTGCCTGAAGAAACTTCTGACTTAAAGTTTGAAACCTCAACTTTGACTTGGAAATGAAGAACAAAATGTCATAAAATTAGACTACGAGCAAATGGTCGTTAACCTGCATGATTGTAGATTGTTATATGAAATGTGTTCCTGTATAAACCTCAGTTATATAAACCTTGTTGATTTACATAACTTTCTTTTTTTGTCTTATAAAATTGTTCCACTTGAATGACACCAACCCAGCGATATCTGGTGACGATTCGATCCTTGCTTGCCTTGTGATCAAAACAAACACAACGTGGGACAGGGAGATGCTTGGATTGAAGTGACAAAACGGGGTGGTGGGGGTCATGAATTATTTCTGGTGGGGGGGCATATGCCCGCCTGCGAAACCCTGTGTCTCCACCACTGTTTTCAGACTATTTTTGGCACCTTAGCCTGGTTGAAAAATTTTGTTGAGGGTGAGATTGTGTCATCCCCTCCTGTGCTGGCACCCGGGGCAGTCTGCCCCCCCCTCTTAGCTACGCCACTGGGCCAGGACACCCTGCATTATTATATTTGTGACCAATGGATTCACTCTCAGGTGACTGCACAGCATTATGCATCTGAAAAAATCTAAACTGAAACCAAAAAGTAATGCAGCCCAATTCTTTATTCCAAATTCCATTTTAATGTTAATACTGTAGTTTTTAACTATATTGATCAGCATTTTAAGTTCTTTCATAATTATATGCAAATACTTTTATGCTAATCATAGAACATAAAGAGGGTGACTTTTTTTTGTATTTTAGAATTGCTATCCTTTGCTGTTTTTAAGATTAGATTTACTGGCATCATATATATGGCAAGTAGAGATAAAGACTATTTTGATATTTATTGGTGATAAAAATTTATCCCCTGATGGCTGGGTTTATGTTCCAATTTTCTTATTAATTTATTAATCTTTAATATTCTGAGGCATTATAATATCCATTAATCCCTGCCATTACCACAGATAAATAAAGATCTCTTCTGTTTTGATTGTAAGGAAAGGTGAAACATAAAGATATATCAGAGATGCTGTTTGGTCTTTGTGAGAAAAAGAAAACATAATAAGAAAGAAAGAAAGAAAGAAAGAAAGAAAGAAAAAGGAGGTGATAATGTTCTCATGCATTTCATGTTTACTTCAGTAAATTGGAAAAACCTTGTCTGTTTTTAATATATTTATTTATACCCACTTTTTTAAATAATGACCCACATGACTTATGATTGTTATTGCAATCTTTTCATAAAGTTAAGTGCAAATATTTAATGACGCAATAGGAAAATTTACACATGTATTTTTATTTAATCATTAATTTAAGAATTATGATTCATCAAAAATACAAATAAGAAAATCTTGAAGTTTACACGGGTATTTCAAATACGTTATTTATTTGTTATCAATAAAAATATTCCCTCTTTATTTGATTGATGATCTGAAATGCTCACTGAACCAACAACAAGTGTGATACTATATACAAAACATATACACTAAGCTTTTTAAAAGCGTCAGGTGAGAGGAGTAGAATCTCATAAAACTGAAGGATGTATAAATCAATGATTGTGACATTATTATTAATAAATAAAAATATAAAATGATTATAAATATCATAAATAAAATAAAAAAAATATTATTAAAACTATTTTAGATAAAATAAAAATAAATAAGGTTATTCCAGCATGCAACAGGAACCTTTTCCTGCCTGAAAATTGATACTTTGCACCAAAAAAATGCTGAACTCACTCTCTTTGTTATCGACTCTCAAAGGGTCAAGACATCAATCTCTTCTCCTTGACACCTTGCTTGTCATAAGATGAAGTGACTTTTGTCCTTTATTACATGCAACCTTAAAACACATAACTAAAATATCCAAACACAAGTACACAAATATAAATAAAATTATATGATTTTAATTTACAATTTAACATGCTTTAAGTGTTATTTCCTTGTATGTTTTTATTCCTGTGAACACAAGGCTATGCCTGCTGGTATGATGTGAGTGACCCCACAACTGAACCAATGAAG